AAAACAAGCAGACAAACATACAAGGTTGCCCAAGAGCAGTCCCGAGGTGTTTGGGGTGTGAGGAAGCTGCCTGGGTGCCTGCGCATCACAGGAAAACATGACCGTTGTGTTTGCAAAAACAGCCTGTTTCTAGGTCCAGCCTGCGTATCGCGAGCGTTGTCTAAACTCAGGTTGTTGCAGCGTTTCTCTCTCTTTTTCATCCTGCTATTTTCTTTTGTCTTGTTGGACTGTTCACTCCTGCTGTATTTGCAGTGCACAAATAAAGCTTGTTTTCCTTCCTCCCCCCCCCCCCCCGGAGGGAAAATGGTTGGTGGCCCCACGGCTTAGCATTGATGTGAATGTGCTGTTTACCACATATATTGATATAGTCTGATCTCTGTTCTAGTCCACTGTATATTCCACTATATATATGTTATATTTAGTTACGTTTAGTTGGAGATGGCCCGTAAATGAGCTTCGGGTGGCTACTCTTCTTTCTGTAGCTTACTCTGTTGTAACTTTGAGAACTTTGTTGTTCTCTTTAGCTACTGTCAGACTGAAAAATGAAGTAGAACAGAAGCAGCTATGTGCTTTTGGGGAGTACGTGGCTGAGATTCTGCCCAAGTATATCCAGCAAGTACAGGTAGGTGCTGTCCATGGAATTGCTCTTGGGAGAGGACAAATGAACGCGCTGTTTCTTTGTTAGATGTGAGAGGTTGTTTTGGGGAAGACAGATTGTCAGAACTAGATAAAAGCTACCGCTGTTGTTGAGTCTCTTTACTTGATGTCAAGTATGTGTCTGCTGTGCCACGTACACTCCTGGCTGAAGTGTCCTGCTGGATTCAATGCAGTGCTCAGTCACGTTAGTGTCTGTAATAATTCTCCTTCCACTGTTTTCTTTAGGTGACCTGTTTCAATGAACTGGAGCTTTTGATCCATCCAGAAGGGATCATTCCAGTTCTGACCTTTCTTCGAGATCATACTAACGCTCAGTTCAAATCCTTGGCTGACTTGACTGCTGTTGATGTTCCATCTCGACAGTATCGCTTTGAGGTAAGAATTGTTTGTAGGTACAGGACACCGAAACGCGCACAAGTGCTGATGGGTTTGGATGCTGTTGCAGCTCTGACCACATTCTTTGCTTTCTGACAGGCAAACAAATCCACGCTGAAATGCTGGGTTTTGTTTAACCTATTGATTGTGGAAGCAGTACCGTAACTGATACTGCACTGACACGCTTAGTTAAATGGGTTTGTAGCCTGAATGGCTTTCCTTTTGTGCTCTACTGCAAGTTTCTTCTTTCTTTAAACACTTTTTCTGGCCAGGTATGAATTAGTACTCTTCTTTCTTCCACTTATGCCTGTCAGCTGTCATTGACAGAACCAGTCATGTTTTTCTTTAAATGCTACCAGTTTTCTCCCTAACAATTTTCTTTTTCTTTAAAAAAGATGTGTAAACCAGTAGAAGATACCTGGGGATCATGTGCTGTAGGAGGTTGGTTATGATTTAGGAGGAAGAGATGTCCTTTCCTTGCCCAGTTTGGGCAGGCTGTCTTTCAGGCGAGAGAAAAATCTGAGCAGCATGATGGTAGGCTTTTGGTTCCCAGCAAGTAACAAGGATGATGAAAAGTAGCTGATTTATTTCTCCTCCTGCATCTATTGTGTGATATTACATCACTTACCAATTGCTGCTCAGGAAACAAAGTAAAGGATGGCAGGTTTACCTTACCTGAATTACCTAATCAGAGGATGTCTGGGTTTTTTTGCCTTTTTTTTTTTCCCAAATATGGCTCTTTGCTTTGCTAATAACAGCTAACAGTTATTAGCTATTACATTAATAACATAACTAGTGTTAGGCTAAAATACCTGAGAGGTGAATAGTGTTTCATATCTCAGAGGCATACATTCTCTGAAGAAGCCAAAGATTCTTGAATTTGGGATTTTTCTTTCATAAATCAGAATAATAGAGTAATAGACATATACAACTTGATTAATTCACATTTTCCAGCTACATGTATAAAGGCAGTCAAACATGCTATGTGATACCTTACACATGTTTTTTTTAACTCTGCTTGTTGTATGTTTTTTTTCTTCTACTGGTGGGTCTAATAATGCTCTTAAGCAGACTTTATCAGTATTTCATCACCACAATAGTTGAAATGTTCCCTGCTATCCAACTTCATTGCTGAAAATTGAGTGGATTTCCTCTTATCTTTCTCCTTCTGCGTGCTGAGTAATCGATAGCTATTTTCTTTGTGACGGATCAGTTCAGTGTTTTTTTTTTTTTTTTTTATTTTAAGATAAGTATCCCTGTTTTTTTGAGCTCTTCTTTGTAAGTCATGTTTTCTGAATCTCTCTTCCTTTTTGTTACAATTCTAAGGACAAAACGGAGATAAGCTATTAGAGCCTCAGTTACAGAGTGTCTTTTAGTGCCCAGCTCTGAAGTGCTGATGTGATTTTGCTGGAAGAAAGTTATTTGAAATAGCCTACATGTCTCTCTCTTCTCAGCCAGTATTATATTGTGAAGAGATCTGTAAAGTCTGTACAAGACCAATGCTTTTTTTTCCTTTTCTTTCCATTTTGCTTCAGATTGTTTACAATCTCCTGTCTTTGCGGTTCAACAGTCGGATCCGTGTGAAGACATATACTGATGAGCTGACTCCTGTTGATTCGGCAGTGTCTGTGCACAAGGCAGCAAACTGGTATGAAAGAGAGGTGAGCTCCAGTGTACTTAGTTCTTGGAAGCAGGGTCCCTGTGGAGAGAGGCAGTTTTCCTGATTAGGCTGATTCCTGGGGCGCTGAGGAAGAAGGGAGAAGTGTTTCATGGGCTGCCTTTGGGAATAGGAGAAGAAAGGTTTTAGACATTCTCTTGAATTCTTTTGAAAGAATTTCCCGAATCAGTTTGCACAGGCGTTGCACAAAGCCAGACGTGCAAGTGAAACTTTGCTGGCATAATACACAAAGGGGTCTTCTTTCTAAATAAGAAAAGTGTTACTTCCAGCACTGTGCCAGAGGACCCCTTTATTTTCTTGGTTTCTTCCCCCCTCCAGATGAGGTGGGGAAGCATGGAGCTAGATTTAGATGCTGATAATGTATCTAATTCAACTTATTGGGCTCCCTTTCATATAGGTTTGGGACATGTATGGTGTTTTCTTTGCCAACCACCCTGACCTGAGACGAATTCTCACCGACTATGGGTTTGAGGGCCACCCTTTCCGGAAGGACTTTCCACTCTCTGGTTATGTGGAGGTAGGAGACATGCCGATGTCCAGAATTTCAGATCTCTGATACTGTTATCTGAGTGTTGATACAGAGATATGACTGCTTTATAATCCTTGGCCTGAAAGGCCCTGAGGATGTTTCATGCGTCTGCTTTCCAGAGGAGTTGTGTATACCTCTAGCGTGGAAGTTTGAAGTTATCACAAAGTATTGTCCGTAATAAGGGAGCCTAAGGCCAGAGACATTGGGCAAATTTCATCTGCTGTATAGAAGCATAAGGGAATTGTCAAGCAGAGAAAGCTCTTCTGCTTTCAGTGTCTCACCTGGAAGATTAAACTTTCCACTGAAAAGCTGTAGATTTCTGGAGGTTTAAAGGACTCCTGATCTTTATGCAGCTATAACTCCACTGTGGAGTGCTTGTAGGCCAGTGCCTAGGTTATAAAACTCTTTAGTTGAACTAACTCTTGCTGTTTATCCAATTTCTTTCCTCTGTATGTTAGTCACAAGTGCAATAAGTGTGTTTGTTCTCTGCCTAGTTTCAAAAGACCACCTTGCAGAAGCACACGTATATGGTGCAGCTCTAAGACTGTGTTGAGTCTCAGGAGAAGAGTGAGGTGCTGCAGGACAGCAGAGGGTTTTAAGAGAACAGAAATAGCAGGAAATGCTGTGAGAATCACACAGCATCTTCAGAGATGTGGTTTGGTGATTTGAGTGGGCACAAAAAGGACAAATCAGGCCTGTCAGAAGTGTTTGGCACTAGCTTACACTTCACCCAGGCCGTCTTTTTGCCCCATGTTCTGAGCTGTACGTAAAGAAACCAAACTGAAATCAAAGAAATTGCTGCAATAAAGAAGTATAAAGATTTATGAGAGTGGTGCCCAGATGAGCCACCGAAAACCTATGGCCTATTCCTGTGGCACGAGAGAACTTTGTTGTGTGAGAAACTCAACATGTTATTTCCCGTGGACTCTGTCTCTAGCCAGGACGCCTGGGG